CCATCTTAAAATTATATGTTATATTAATTATCTTGTACCTTGAATACATGTTGTTATTATCAATCTTTGCATTTGACATGCAAGTCATAACCTATTAGTGTTCTGATTGGCAGTGATGTATATTTTAAGTAAAGATGCCCTGATCCGGCTACAATTTTAACTCATTACCTGGACCGGATATCAGATGAATAAAGCTGCTTCAGCATTCTGAGGCTGTAATTTCTGTGTCTACTGATGTCATGCACAGCGATACAATACAGTGATCTAGTGTGTTCAAATGTATGTTTTGTAATGCTGATTATGTCATTGTGCAGAGCACACACAAGAGAACAACATTAGGAGTTGGAAGATAAAACAATGTCTATTATGTAAAAAAAAAAAAAAAGATTTCTTTAATAAATTACTAAAACCAGTTTAAGTTCCACCCAGAAGTGGGTTGTGTGCTCAAAAAAACTGTACTAAAGTAAGAGTAGCACTACACCAAAATGTACTTAGGCTACTTAAACACTGAGTAATAGTTTAATCATAATATCTCTGTTAAGTTTAGAAATAAAGCAGATATTAATTGAAAGTTCATATTTAGAATACTAAAATAAATAACAACACACAGTAACAAGTAACCTCCTCTATGTAGATGTTTACAGAATATGAATCCAGTCACTACCCAATTCTGTGTAAATTAGGTGTTTAACTTTTTCAAAAAATAATTTAAACCAAAGATTAGAAATCATTGTGAACATCTGGAAATGATGACCTGAATATTCAATTATATAAATAATTTCTTCAATTTGTAAAGAAAAGAAATACCAAAGGGAATTTAAGAAATTGTAGTTATTAAATGAAAAAAAACATCTTCCACATGTTTGATTATCCAGGTTTAAAACTGAATTCCATAACCAATTGTACCTGTGTAGGCTGTTCCACAGTTTCAGTCCGTCATCTCTGTAGTAGAAGTTGGGAATATTTTCCATCCCACGATCTGCAATGTCATCAGGTATGCAGAGGGATCTGTACGTCATTGAGGACAAGGAGTCCTCCATGATTTTGAACATACCCTCTCCACCCGAAGCTGACATCTAATGAAAAATGTATTACAAGTTAAAATATTTTCATTTGTAAAACACAAATGTCGTTACCGACCAAAACAATGTTTTCTCACCTTTGTCAAGACACCATCCTCAGATAATAGCCTCTGTCGAGCCAGGACATTAATATGCAGAGTGTAGCGAGTGTGGGGTATGAGAAGCTGAGGACAGAGAAAGAAATCCTTAACCCTCATGCTTTTTGTTTTTTCTTTTGCCAAACATAAACAATGGCTAATTCAGAAAATGTGTATGAAGTTGGACATTCAATTAAACTAAGGAAAAATGGCCCTCTCTCAATACGCCTACTTGAGCATTGTCATGTGCTCATGACACATCATAAGCCCCAACTGGCAAGAACGCAAGATCGAGAACGCGGAAAATTTCCTGGTATATTGTTCCCGCCCCTCAAGAGCTCAGAGTATTAAGTTAAAAGTCACTTTTCTGTTGCTGTTGTTCTACAAAAAGTTTTCAGATCATTTGAGGCAAGAACCTTATAATTATAATCTTCGCTATATGATGAGGTGTCAATTAAATGTCCAAATGCTTTAAAATATTGGCTCCATAAAAGTTATGAACAGAATCTGTGACAAAGGGCAACCTTGGCGGAGTCCAACCCTCACTGGAAACGAGTCTGACTTACTGCCGGCAATGCAAACCAGGCTCTGACACTGGTCATACAGAGACCTAACGGCTCCTATTAAAGAGCCCGGTACTCCATACTCCTGGAGTACCTCCCACAGGACCCCCCGAGGGACACGGTCAAATGCCTTCTCCAGATCCACAAAACACACGTAGGCTGCTTGTGCAAACTCCCATGCACCCTCCAGAATCCTGCTGAGGGTATAGAGCTGATCCAGTGTTCCACGGCCAGGACGAAAACCAAACTGCTCCTCCTGAATCTGAGATTCGACTATCCGACGGACCCTCCTTTCCAGAAACCCGGAATAGACCTTATAGGCTAAAGAGTGTGAATCCTCTGTGGTTGGAACACACTCTCAGGTCCCCCTCTTTTTAAAAAGAGGGACCACCACCCCAGTCTGCCAATCCAGGGGAACTGCCCCTGATGTCCACGCAATGTTGCAGAGCTGTGTTAACCAACACAACCCCGCAGCATCCAGAGCCCTAAGGTACTCAAAGCGAATCTCATCCACCCCTGGAGCCTTGCCACTGGGGAGCTTTTTAACCACCTCAGTGACTTCAGCAACAGAGACGGGAGGACCCAAGCCGGAGCCTCCAGGCTCTGCTGCCTCAATGGAAGACGTGTTGGTGGGAATAAGGAGGTCTTTGAAGTATTCCACCCACCGACATATGACGTCCCGAGTCGAGGTCAGCAGCACACCACCCCCCACTATGAATAGTGTTGGTACTGCACTGCTTCCCCCTTCTGAGACGCCGGATTGTGGACCAGAATCACTTCGAAGCCGTACTGAAGTCTTTCTCCATAGCCTCTCCGAACTCTAGTCACGCCCGAGTTTTTGCCTTGTACTTTTACTTGAGCTTCAATCTTAAGTTTAAACAGTAGGATTTATACTTAGTTGAGTAATAAAAATTAATGCTTTTGCCACCTCTGTACGGTGGCCCTGAAGTGCAAACTGCAACTACAAATCTAAAAGCGCAACTACATTAAGGAAATCGCAACTACATAAAGCAAAGCGCAACTACATTAAGAAAAACAAAACTACATAAAGCAAAGCGCAACTACATTAAAGAAAACAGAATTACATTAACCTACCGGAAAAGGTAGGTACCAGTGGGAAACATGAGACATCGCTGATTGGACGACGGGGCCGTTTGACCCTTGAACCGGAAGTCATTCTGCCTGCTACGGCTTTGAAAACATGGACACTAACTGAAATTTCGTGAATAGTCTTGAGCACATCCAGTATCACCTCGTACGTATGTCCTGATTCAAAATATTCCTGGATAACGGCAGCTATGTTTGGGGCGCCGACAATATCCATTTTTTCAAAAGCCGCAGCATCTAGAGACCATTAATAACAGGAAGTTAACAAATGGCAAATCTAAATTTTATGCTAAGAAGCTAAGCTGAACATCATAGTTCTGCAGGTTCACTTACCTTGTACAGTGGATGAACCATAGGTAGGTTGCGCAGCGTGGACAGTGCAAAGACCTCAGCCAGCAGGTGAGTGCGCAGCAGGTGAATGTTGAGCTCATGCAAATTAAATTCTGCACTTCTCACAAAAGTTTTTGCCAACAACCAGTCATGCGGAGAATCAGTAGGAAGGAAGATTGGGTTGTCTGGTCCTGGCTCCTGCTTCAGCTATAAAATAATAAGGCAGTGTAAGGGGTTAATTCACGCTTTGGAATTAAATTCGTTAGTGATTATTACACGCAAAAAAGACTTGGAAGTTTAAATCATTATTTTATTTCTATGTTATGGTGTCTTGGACTGTTTTGGTTTTAATTTGAAGAGTTGATATTAAGTCACTTTAAGTGTTTTAAATTGCATTGGCATTTCCCCTCCTTTATTTAAGATATGTATAATATTTTAGAAGCTTTTCTTCCTGTTAGAGTCAACTATCAGTAAAGAATAATAGAGTGGCAGGGGTCCATTTGAGGAAGCAGGTTTAATAAACTCAGATTCAAATCTTCAACTCTAAATCAATCTAGCCTAATGTCGGGCACTCTGAGTTTTCAATTTCACAACAGCTGCTATGAATTAGTTCAATCAACTCTAAGTAGGAAAAGCCATTATCAGTGGAGTACCGATTCAAAGACAGAGAAACTGCACTACAGCTGCAAAGAAGAGGAAGACGGCAAAGAGAAGATTGTTGCTTGAGTTAACGCGTAGGTTTATATGAAGTGCCCTATGGCAAGCCATTTTACATTTATTAAACGCACTCTCCTCTCTGTTGTTCCATTTGAAGATCACTAAAATAAGATTCTTCCTGACAAAAAATCACAATCCTAGACTGAACTGTAATAATATATTTTCTAAATTACATTTTTGTAGCAGAAACTGGATTTTAGAAAGTACAAAACAAAACTATAAGAATTAAGCTTTATATATCTAGAAATGTTTACACATTTAAGTCGATGTTTTGACATTTATCTGCTTGACTGAATATGTATTGTGAAAAAGTATTTTTCCTTAGCGTGTCTGAGAGATAAAGTGTTTTGTGTGTGCCTTTTCTCTGCCTAAGTAGAGTTTTATGCTGTGAGCGAAAGACAGTTGATGTCATGCTGAGAAAACTGTTTCTCTGAAATGTTTATCTGGCTAAATTTATGTTTTCCTTATTTTGCTCAAGTATGTGAGAAAGCTTTTTTGTGCAGGCGGTGGGTTTAGTTTGATGGGAGAGAAAGAGAGAGAGAGAAAGAGAGAGAGAGAGAGAGATTGAGAAAGAGAGAAAGAGAGAAAGTGTATAAATGTATGTGCTTAGGATGGTAAGTCAGGGCTTTTATATACCCTCCGTGTCATTAAGGACGTTAAATAAATTTGAATGTTATCTCCTGTAAGAAATGCTTCCGACTCAGTTCCCTAACTTCACAGTATTTATGGTATCTGAAAAAAACATTTTTTCATAGTTAAAATAATGCAAATATTAACCAGTAATATTAGGAATATGGAGATCTAAAATTAATTTCTAGAATGTTTATTCTACATGTAGAAAATATCATTTTGTTTGAAATGGTAATTTAGACAAAGGAAAAATCTTTTCAGATTTTTTCAGATATCATGAATACATATTCAGTAAAACTATTACATATAAAAACGGCATACCATCACAGGATTATTTCTTGAATGGTAGTAGATCAATGTATGTATTTAGGTGAAATCTTCTGGCAGCAGATGAAGATGAAGTCTAAAAACTAATATATAGAACCTGTGCATCATCTTATGGGTTCCTCCTCTTATTCAGTCTTGTTTTACAAAATAAAAACTTAATGGCTGTTTGCAGCAGCGTTTCGTATGTTATCATCCCAATAAATTTGTTATAGAATAGAATGGCTTCAGATTTGACCAGTAGGCTCCATAGGTTATCATCAAATTAAGCCTAACCCTAAAGTAATTTATTTTCCTCCAAGGAATTAATTAATCTATTTATGTGTAATCTGAAAATAATTTCAGTAGTTCTTCATGTACTGTAATTATAGTTAAAAAAAAAAATAAAATGATCCACATCTCACCCATATTAAACAAACCAACACAAGTAACCTGTCAACTGAGTTCTAGAATCCTCTCCCTATAAATATTTAATTCTCTGTGAATTAATGCCGATCATACTTTAATTAGATCCTCGTCAATCAGACATTGCAATGTTTGATTTTAAAACCTAATGTGTCTAACGGACCTAGAAAATGATATATGTATATTTTTTATGCACAAAACTATGACAAAAACGTACTAAATGAGGAAATAAAAAAACCTGATTAGTTGTAAGGACAGCGGAGACAGACGACACCTGCTACTGACCAGGTTAGCTCTGGGGAGAATGTTTATATGGTGATTGAAACACAGGTTGAGGAAATTCTCTCTCTATGAAAAGGAAAAGTCAGTTTCCCTGTTTTCAGGTTTAGAAAACAAAGATTTCTGCAATCATAACCCCACCTTGGTGCAATCGATATCTTCATAATGAAGACTTATTTATCATTTTTCGACAGGATCATTCTTTAATTATTTTTGTGTGTAGCACAATTAGTTTTTGACGAATAAAACTTACCTGAATTGCAATAGGCAGCAGTTTATCATCAGCTGTTTTATAGAGCAGCACAAGTGGAGCCGCCAGGTATTGCTGCTTTCCATCGATTTTTCTTGCTTCTACTTTGTCCAACATCTTGTAGTCACACAGAAATATGTTGCCACACTGTT